GAGAGAGGAGAGAGAGAGGAGAGAGAGAGGAGAGAGAGAGAGAGAGAGAGAGAACGAAAGAAAGAAATCACTCTAAACTGTTCTATCATGATAGTTCATTTGATTGAACATCTGTTCTATTTTCTGAATTTTCATTTTTAAAAGCATACTTACCCTAAGACATAGCCTATGATATGTTTTTACAGACCCCTAATTAGGAAAAAGTACCTAAATCAGCCAACATATTCCTGCTTATACTTAACAATTAATCATGCAATTGTTTTACACAGTTGTTTAATTGTCTCTCAAAAATCAAAGGTCACTTGCCCAATGTACATGCATCCCATACACAGCAAGGCATATTTTCAGAAGTCGTTTTAGTGAACTAATACAATGTATTCATTTGAATAACAATTATTTGAAATGACTAGCAGGGAGGAGAGAATACTTACTTGGTGTGGGCTGCAAAGACAGTCAATTATTTGATTTTGTTTGCATTATTTAAGTTCGCATATATGTAATTTGCTTGGTTCTCCCTTCATAATTTATTGAACAGATATGCACAGAACCATGCAGCAAACAAAACCGCTGACAGTCCCTCGCAGAGGAAACCTCAGGCAGGTACGGGGCGGGCAAATGAGCAAACAAACGACCATGGACCACAGGTCATGAGCAACACTGCCAAGACACTTGGAGTAAGAGGAGGAGGAGGAGGAGGACAGGGAGTGGGGGTGGGGTGGAGGAGAACAGTATGGAACAGAAGGCGACTGGAAGACCACGTCAGCCCAGAAAGCTGAGGAACATTCTGTCTGAAAACTCAAGACCTGAATGAAAACCCTCTACTGGCCCCTGAGGAAGAACTTCTGAGAGATTAGGAAGGGAATAAGAGTTTTGTCTGAAGCCGGGCGGTGGTGGCGCACGCCTTTAATCCCAGCACTCGGGAGGCAGAGCCAGGCGGATCTCTGTGGGTTCAAGGCCAGCCTGGGCTACCAAGTGAGTCCCAGGAAAGGCGCAAAGCTACACAGAGAAACCCTGTCTTGAAAAATAAAAAAAAAAAAAAAAAAAAAAAAAAAGAGTTTTGTCTGCAGATTTATCTCCATCACACTGTGTTACAAATTCTGTATAATCTGAATCAAAACTTACAACAATCTGAAATGATACTTAGAATGATAAAAACCATCCCACATTTCAAGTTCCCCCAGGAAAAATGAGTAGTGTTACTTAAAACTTAAAAAACGAAATGATGTAAATAGAGTACTCATGAATGAAATTCTCAAAAGAAAATTTATCTACGCCAAGAGTAGTGGACGCACACCTTTAATCCCAGAACACAAGATCAAAGGCAGGTGAATCTCTATGAGTTCAAGGCCAGGCTGGTCTACATAGTGAGTACTAGGACAGCTGGGGCTATATAGAGAAACTATCTAAAAAAAAAAAAACGAAAGAAAAGAGAAAAATTTAATTAAAAGCAAACAAACTGAAAAAGGAAAACAAAACACTTTACAAGACTGAGATGGTTAATACTATCAACAGGATCTACAATCACCCAAGAGATAAAGCTCTGGGAATGCCTGTGATAGTCTCTACCCTGGGCTAAGCGAGACAGGCAGACCCGCCCTCAATGTGAGGCTGCCTTCATCCACACAGGCGGCCACTCTGGGCTGAAGAGAGGGAGGAGGGAGGAGCACAGACACTGCTTCCTACTGCAGACGCAATGTGGGCCACTGCTAAGCCCCGGCCGGCCAGCCAGTGACATGCCAACTGTGATGACATGTATCCCCAAGCTGAAAGTAAACCTTCTTTTCTTCTATCACATTTTCTCACAGCAACAAGTAAAACAGAAACACAGCACCAAGAAACGGGGCCATTGCTGTGAGACACTGGACTGTGTGGTTCTTAAGCTATGGAACTAAGAGGGATGTAGAAGTTTGGAACTTTGATCCAGAAAAGCCCTAGGCTGCTGTAAGTAGAGCTTACGGGGTCATTCTGGTGTGAGTTTGGAAAAGCAGAATGCCAAGAGAAATGCAGACCATGGAGGCCTCTATCTGAAACTGGGTTGAGGCCTTTCCTATTCTAGCCCGTCTGGACTCTGGCTGGATTCTGCCTGTGTTCTGTAAACTTTAGTAATGGGTTACTGTGCTAGGTGGATGGAGTCTCCCAAGAGAAGACTCAGTCTGTGTCATAGTTACTGCTCACGGCTCTCACCCAGGTCTACAGAAAGAACAAAGAGTGGAGCAGGAAATGTGAAAACACGCAGCTGGGCAACAACCACGTGACCTTCAATTCACAGACAGTGGCAGCAGGTGTTAGGAGACATCAGTCACCCACTATTCCGCACTGCTGAGCTAGATTCTCACCTGGGAGCCAAAAAGGAACCCTTTCTTCCCCAAGGTGCTTCTGCAATGAGAGAGGCAGCTAATACATAAAGGAACCTAACTGCTTGGCAAAAATCGTCAAGCAACAGAGCACTTGCCAATGAGGAGTTAATAAGGCACATAAAAGCCTGCCCATGGCACATTTGAGACACTAATATAGGAAGAATGGTAAATAAGGCCAGCCTGGACTACACAGTGAGTTTCAGGACAGCCTAGGGTATACAGGAAGATTGTCTCTTAAAAAAAGGGATAATACTTTGTAACATCAACCCAATAAATTCACTATAAATTTAATTCTTTAAAAATATTTGTTCAGAACATAAAAATTGTAGGGCCCTGGCCCCCCATTTTGGGTAGCTGTTGCCTGTTTGCCGACCTTGACCAGATGTCCTCCCTATGCTGATTCCCTGCCGGTTTCCTCCTTCCAGAACGCTCATGGAGATTCTGTTTGTGTATCCTGCATATTGGGTGTTAACAGCTTAGATGCAAGATTGTAAAACATCGGTAGTGAACTTCTGCCCTCCAGGGTTCTCCCATTGTGCTGTAAGCCTGTATTGAAGGTTTCCTCCCTCTTTCAATAAATGGCATTCAGCCTTCTGCTGGGGCGAATGACCCGCTGTCTCTTGTCTCTATTTTTAATCCATAGCCCCTCACTTGGACATGGTGAACAGGTGGTGGTAGCGCAGGCGCTACTGCAACAAAAAATATACTAAATGACTGCTTAAACGCCAGTTCTGAAATATTTGTGAATTTTCTTTTGGTTTTTTGAGACAGTTTCTCAGAGATCTGCTGCCTCTGCCTCTTTACGCTGGAATTAAAGGCATGTGCCACCACCACCCAGCTGTGAAGTTATTTTCTATAGTAAATTTTTTTTCTAGATTTATTTGCATTTCTTGAGTATGTCTGCATGTATGTATGTTTGTCTGCACGTACATATGTTTATCACGTGTGCAGAGCACCAGACTCCCTAGCACTGTAGTAATAGATGCTTGAGTGCTGCTACATGGGTCCTGGGAGTCAGACCAGACTGTTTGGAAGAGCAGCCACTGCTCTCAAGTGATGGACCATCTCTCCAGCCGCCATAAATAAAAATCTTTAATGGCCGGGCGGTGGTGGCGCACGCCTTTAATCCCAGCACTTGGGAGGCAGAGGCAGGCGGATCTCTGTGAGTTCGAGGCCAACCTGG